CCGATGCCCGGAATCAAAGATGTGTGCCAGAGAATACCGACGCATAAATGTGACCACGAAGAAGGAGTGGTGCAAAATTAAGGCAATTGACAGCCATCTAGCTGGAGTCACCGCAACAACCCCAACTATAAGTTGGCGACGTAGATGTGCTCAAAATTGAAGTTCCTTCAAGGCAAGTTGAGTACCTTGGTTCCATCAGCCTCCAAAATCCTCGTAGACCTTCGAGGTCGGAGGATTCATTAAGAAGAAATCGTGGTTTCTCTCGAGGTGACTTCCCTATCCGCATCAATCCCACGAAGCTCACACAAGAAGAGAATTGAAGAAGCATACGACGAGACACAGAGTCCGCTGTAAATTTAACATCTCATGAGACGGTTCGAATTTTTGTCAAGAAGGTAATCAGGCTTAGCTGCAGAAGATCAAGGCAATTCTGCTTGGCTGCCCAATCTCTAGTGTAGTGGCAGAACTACTCCTACAGGAGCTAGAAAGGACTGCTTTCATCCCATCTGAATCTGCCTTTTGGAGTCGTTATGGTGATAAAGCGTTTGGTATCTTCGAGAAAAACAAGCTACAAAACTTCAAAAACTTGTTCAACGGAATCTTTTTTGACATAGAATTCACAAGAGCAGAAGAGGAATAAGAGCAGCAACTGCCTTTCCTTGATTAATTCGTCAGGCATAATCCTAGCAGTGAAATTGAGTGGATTGTTTACCAGAAGGCAAGGAAAACCGCCCAGCATCTAAGTTTTCACAACAACAATCCGGTGACTCTTAAATGAAACCGTGTGAGAACGCTCTTCAGCCGGATACAGACTCACTGCAGTGAACCAAAAGAAAAAGCACGCGAGGTCCCGTATCTCTGTGACCAATTTAGACTGAATGGTTTTCCGAGGACATTTATAAACTGATGCGTATGCTCTGAGTTCCAGCGGACACCAACAGAAACACCACCAAGGATATGGCACGCCTTATCTTACATTAAGAGTGTTTCAGAAACGACCACTCACATTTTGCGGGACGCAAAGTTGGAATTGCACCCCAGATCAAGGTTATTATATACAGCAGAGTGCTGAAAACCAATGATCCAATAAATCCTAACGAGCAATCTGGGCAGTCTATCACATCCAAGCCTGAACCCACGAAATGGACCATGAGTTCAACTTCACAGCCGTCAAGGCAAGCGCTAACACCAGAAGCAAGGCGAGCCAAGAAATTACCGAAGCCGACTGGTACAGCTGCCTGCACAGCCATCTTGTAAATGTTTAGGGATTGGACATTGATTTTAGTTTTAGCGTTAGTCTTGAACTTATAGTGGACATCTTACTTGAAGGTTCTCGGCTCCTGCAAAGTGATCATATAATGCTCATTGCACAAAAAGTAGTCATCTCATTTTCCATGGCTGTCTAAATACAGCTATCCTTTGATTATAGGAAAAGTTACACTATAGTTTGTTAAGGGGAATTCAGAGGACATCGACGTGCGTTGGTAAAACTCGGCATCCTAGTATGTAATTACTTACGTAATGACGTATGTGCAGAGTACTAGAAGAGCAAGGCTTGTCGAGCACCAAATCAATCGATTTATTGTTCTGAGCTTTCGAACTCTTACAGGAGTCCATCTTCAGAGATCTTCAGAGAGATCCATCTCTGGTGCTCGACACGCCTTCTTCCTCTTCCATGCAAATACCTGGATCGCGAACTTTCTCATTCATTCGTGCATAGTACTGACTATCAGTTAGCAGATTTTGAATATTATGCGGTTCTACCATAATAGCTGCTGGATTTCAGTTCAAGTATTCATACCAACTGCCTGAATGAGTCTAAAAGGTTTGTTCCGGAAGGATTTTCTTCAAGTTCAAGCATTACTTTCCTCGGGAAGTTAACGAGGCACTTAGCTAATGCGTATTACCTTTTCTATTTATAGTGCTCTAGGACAGAATCCCCTTCATTGTGATTGCAACCTAAGATGGCTTCAACACTTCTTCCGAACTCGCTTTCTCGACAATGGTGTCGCACAGTGTTCAACGCCGAAGTCAATGGAATTCAAGTCGATCTTCCATGCCCACCCCTCGAACTTCACCTGTCCACGGCTGCCCTCGTCAGCTGAGGCGGGGGGCGGTGGACTGCGACTCGGAAC